GCATTCCGTCTCCCAGAGGATTTGTGACAAGCACAGGGTGAATACGAATAAAATATTCTCCGCACTTTCCAAATCATGGCCCCAGGGGTGTCACCACACCATTAAACTGCATCGAACGGATCTCTTTCGTGTGGGAAAGATTCAGTGTCTGCAATTTCTTCAATTTTGCCGTCTTCTTTTTGCTACTTTTTCTGATGATAAAGAACATGCACTTCAAATCCATGGCGAACGTCCAGGAAACACATAATTTGAACTGTATTTTTGAACGATCTAAATTTCAGATATATGAACAGCCAAGAAACGTTCCTCAAGGACGTTCGTGAAACTTGCACAAGACCAAGAAACGTTCATTGAACATTCATTAAAAGTTCCACTGATACTCGCGTGGAACCGTTTCAAGAGCCAATGCCAGTGCCAATTGATATCCTTGGAGGAGATTTCAGAAACTTATTACAGTATTTGATCCATGGATGGCAATTGGGATGCTGACCATACACCATCTTGATGCATATAACAGCCTAATGCACAAGGAGGTTCATGAAACGTGGAAAGACCTTGAATGCAATATGGTAAAAACCTTAAATGAAGCGTTCGTTGAACATTCATTAAACGTTCAAGTCCTGCTTGGGTAGGGCATTTGCAAAGAGTTCAACAGCAAGACAGTAGCATTTGAGATCTCTGGAGGTAATTTAAACAACTTCTCCAGGTATTTGCTCCAACGATGACTATTTAAATGCTTACCATGCCCTAACTTGATGCATGCTACAGCCTGATGCACGAAGCTGATACATAAGTCACTGTCCTCAAATACCCTCTGTGAATAAAGTCATCAAGTTGTGGAATTCGTCGCACCGGCATTTATAAGTGTCGAGTCAGTTTTCTCTGCGGAACGGAAGTGATGCGCTATCCATCCTCCCACATTCTCCACTGCTCTCTCTTTTCATTCGGATGGACAAGACCAGCATCCGGTCTTGTCCACTGACTTTCAGGCGTCGAAAACTGCAAATTGTCAGAAGGATCGGTCGCTTTCGCATTGGATGAGTTGGACGAAGCCAAAATGGACAGTCCTCAGGGTTTTTACCTCTTGGAAGCAAATGGCAATTATTGAAAAATGAAATTATAGAAAATAGGTTCGAATTAATTTCAGACGTTTATTCATAAAAAAATAAAGGCAGCCAAAGGTCTTTGGTTTGAGTCTCTTGTGCATGAGCTGATTGAAAGACTTCATGAACGGCAATGTGAATGGCAGAGGGATGATCGATGAGATGAGAAAGATGAAGAAAGGGTAAGATGTTCAGCCAAAATGATGGGGACGATGATGTCCGAAACCTCCGAATCCTCCCCCATAGCCTGAGTAACAAATAAGAAAGGAAAAAAGTTAGAAATTAATTTTGATTAATCAGTATGGTAAGTTTAACCAAAAGTGAATTATCTTCTGAGGATATGGCAGGAATAAAATGACAGATTTCAACGGCCTTTGCTTGCATTAAGGTAAAAAACGTATCGCGATCGTGATATAATCAGAAAATAATTTAAATCTCGAAAATCGTGAAGCGTGAAGATGCGCAGCTCGCAGCAACATCGAACTCTGTAGCAATTGAACTAAGGCTTTTTATAGGACGCTTTTTTCTTCCATTATAGGCGAGTTGTTTAAAAGAGTGCTCACGTAGTCTTACACGTGTAAAATTTGGAATTCTACGTTCAGTTTTAATGGAGGTATCGGCGGAGGTATCGGCGGTCCATAGCCGCCACCGTAGCCTCCGTAACCTCCATAGCCCCCCAGGCCTCCATAGCCCCCATAGCCTCCATGACCGAATCCTCGATTGGCAGACTCGGCAGTGAAGAGGTCTTCATCATCGTTGCCAGCCCCGAGGGCCACAACCATCAAACACACCAGTCCCAACAATCCCAACATCTGTTCATCGAAAAAAATCCACTGAATTTCTCCACACAAAGGTTCGAGTCCTACGCATCCTCACACAAAGGAAACAAGATATTAATATAGGAATCATAAATATAAAATGTGATTATATGGAATACGACCTATACATATACAGAATACAATTAAACATATAATTAAACTTGTACAAAAGCCGTTTAATACGTTTGAAATAATGAAGGTCTTTTCCCTGAATTGATAATCAAAGAAAATGGTAATGACTCGTCTTTTTGAAACTGAATGAGAGATTCATTTCTCGATGTAGCCATTATCAGGAAAATAGATATACTCACGAGTTTCATTTTGGTGATTCGTGCGGCGTTGAAGTACAGAAGACTGTTCCACGAGGATCGAGATCGCTCCAAAGAATGAATAGAATCGGGTCCAGTGGAGGGTATTTATATATAGTTGGAGGGCGGAACTGGGAAAACCCTTGACGTAGCTCTTTTAGTTAGGTATCTGTTCCTTCTTCAGTCGGGTTATGTACTTCTTTTCCAGGAAGATAAGATGGAAGGAAAAGAGCCGGCCTTTTTTGCTTCTCTCCTTTCTTGGAAATGCTAACATAGGCTGCCCTTATATGGCCAAGGGGGATTCCCCATCTGGACGGATCATGCGCAGGAATTCCTCAATGTCACGGTCATGATTTACAGACCACTCTCTTTATTCCGGTTAAGGCCAAGCTCCCGTTAATTCAGTCACGAGGCATACCACACTGAAGAATTCCAAAAAATTACGTTAAAAAAATTCTGCCATGAAGCCGAATGCTGTTCATACGGAGGAATCCTCGTATCCCTTATGTCCCGTATCCCCTTCTCCGTTATCCGGATTTGATGGGAAAAACCAGGAAAATTAAAGGAATTTCTTTACTGCGTCTCAATTCCCCAGGGAGATAGAAAGTCACGAGGAATCATTCTTCCCATAACTTTCCACGATTTTGGACTTTTTTCTTCAGCAAGACGTTGAGTCATGTCCGCTCTTGTCATTGGAGTCAACAAATGTCCAATTTCATGGATCGCTCTGATTTGGGTGAAAAGTGTTTTGATTCCCCTGGTATGCAATTATAATATTCCAATATAGAAAGTCTGAGATAAAGGAAAGTGTCACAAATAATTTTCACATGCCGACTTGGTGTTCCTCTTTCATGGAAGTGAAACCACGCGAATGTCGGACACATCCACTCATCACTGAGCTCGGGAGAGTGCGTTGCCTATTCATTCCTGGAAATCGCTTTGCAATTTTTCTTTCATTGATTTCCTCAGTAGCAGGAGGAAATTCGGGATAATTTGAAATTGTCATGTCGAAGCAGCTGAGTCAATAATTCCAATTCCCCAAAAATAAAAATATTAAATATTTGTTTTTTGTTTCTTTTGTGAGCGAAATTTCATTCTGAAATAAATGAATAAATGAATTGTCACTCGGGCAGGCAGTTCATAATAAAGACAAACCATTCATCCAGTCAACATCGTCAAACTTATAAAGTAAGGATTAACGAGAAACGGGTGCAATTTAAGCCTCAGGGACTCAGGACTCGAGCACTTTTTCGCATATTTTGCAGAGCTTTTTAGGAATGTAAGACTTCCAGGCTTTTCTTCACTTTTGAGTCCGTCACCTCTACTTCTTTGTATTTTGGTGGTCAGTGACGTTTTATTGCGGAGTATTGAATAAAAATTTTCCTTAATTATTTATATTTATCAACTCTGGACTGAATGGGTTAAATCCTCGTATAATCTTCCTATTAGGAAACAAAAGTTTATCTTCTTTTTTCTTTTTCTTAATGACTGCATTGAAATTACATCACAATGAATTCCCTATCTCAAGTCACATAGAGCCTTCACGAATCACACCCGAGATAATCCATGATCTTTAAGAAGTGAATACAGCTTTGCTCACACTTAAGTTGATTATCTCGAAATCTCTGCTTGAGTCGAGAAAAAAGCATGACTTCTCGCATATCCGGATTGGAGTTTCTTCGCAACCCATCTCGAAGGCCCTCGCGACCCACGATTTGGGGGAGCGTTGAGCTTAATCAGGATTGCCGCAAGAGCGACCGCATTCCGTCTCCCGGACGATTTGTGATATGCACAGGATGAATACGAAGAAAATATTCTCGGCACTTTCCAAATCATGGCCAAAGGGGTGTTACCACGCCCTTAAACTGCATCGAACGGATCCCTTTCGTGTGGGAAAGATTCAATGTCTGCAATTTCTTCCTTTTTGCGGCCTTCCAGTGCGGAACATTTTTTGTGATGATAAGGAACACGCACTTCAAGTCTATAGGGAACGTCCAGCAAACGCATAATTTAATTGTAGTTGAGCGATCTAAATTTCAGACATTTGAACTGCCAAGAAACGTTCCTCAAGAACGTTCATGAATCGTGCAAAAGACCAAAAATGAAAAGTTCATTCATTAAAGGTTCCACTGATACTCGAGTGGCGCCGTTTCAAGAGCGTGGCAGTGCCATTTGAGAATCCCGGAGGAAATATCAACAGCTTCTTAGGGTGTTTGATACAACGATGGCAATTAGAATGCTTACCATGCACCAACTTGATGCATGCTTCAGCTTGATGCACGAAACTGATAATTGAGTCACTGTCCTAAAACTCTCCCTGGGAATGAAGTCTTCAAGTTATGAATTTCGTAATATTAGCATTCGTAAGTGTTGAGACTGTTTCCTCCGGGAACGGAAGTGATGCCGCTCTCTTTTCCATGGATGGACAAGAGCAGCATCTGGTCGTGTCTCCTAATTTTCAGACGTCCAGAACAGCACATTGCCATCAGGATTGGTCACATTCGGAGAGGATGAGTTGGACGAAGCGAAAATGGACAGTCCTCAAGATTTTTACCTCTTGGAAGCTGATGGCAATTATTGAAAAATGAAATTATAGAAAATGTGTACGAATTCATTTCGGACGTTTATTCATAAAAAAAAATATATAGGCAGCCAAATGTCTTTGGTTTGAGTCTCTTGTGCATGAGCTGATTGAAAGACTTCATGAAAGGCAATATGAATGGCAGAGAGATGATCGATGAGATGAGAAAGATGAAGAAAGGCCAATATGTTCAGCCAAAATGATGGGGACGATGATGTCCGAAACCTCCGAATCCTCCCCCATAGCCTGAGTAACAAATAAGAAAGGAAAAAAGTTAGAAATTAACTTTTTTTTTAGTCAATCCATTCAAATTTGAAATGTGATTAATCTCCTGAGGATATGGCAGGAATAAAATAACAGATTTCAACGGCCTTTGCTTGCATTAAGGTAAAAAACGTATCGCGATCGTGATATAATNGCTTGCATTATGGCACAAAACATATCGCGATCGTGATATAATCAGAAAACAATTTAAATCTGGAAAATCGTGAAGCGTGAAGATGCGCAGCTCGCGGCAACATCGAACTCTGTAGCAATTGAACTAAGGCTTAAATATCCTACGATAAAAGAAGGTAATATCCGCTCAACAAATTTTCTCACGAGTGCATCAGAATGTGCACATTTTAAACCTTAAGATGCAAGTCAAAATTACCTCCATAGCCGCCTCCATAGCCGCCACCGTAGCCTCCGTAACCTCCATAGCCCCCCAGGCCTCCATATCCCCCATAGCCTCCATGGCCGAATCCTCGATTAGCAGACTCAGCAGTGAAGAGGTCTTCATCATCGTTGCCAGCCCCGAGGGCCACAACCATCAAACACACCAGTCCCAACAGTCCCAACATCTGTTCATAAAAAAGCCACTCAATTTCTCCACAGAAAGGTTCGAGTACAACGCATCCTCTCATAAAGGAAACGACAAGTTAATATACGTCTCATAAATATAAAATGTGATTATATGGAATACGACATATACATTTACAGAATACAATTAAACATATAATTAAACTTGTACAAAAGCCGTTTAATACGTTTGAAATAATGAAAGTCTTTTCTTTGAATTGATAATAAAAGAAAATGGTAATGACTTGTTTTTTTGAAACTGAATGAGAGATTCATTTCTCGATGTAGCCATTATCAGGAAAATAAATATACTCACGAGTTTCATTTTGGTGATTCGTGCGGAGTTGAAGTACAGAAGACTGTTCCACGAGGATCGAGATCGCTCCAAAGAATGAATAGAATCGGGTCCAGTGGAGGGTATTTATATACAGTAGGAGGGCGGAACTGGGAAAACCCTTGACGTAGTTATTGCAGTTTGGTATCTGTTCCTTCTTCAGTCGGGTTATGTACTTCTTTTCCAGGAAGATAAGATGGAAGGAAAAGAGCCGGCGTTTTTGTTTGTCTCCCTTCTTGGAAATTACTATAATAGGCTGCCCTGATATGGCTAAGGGGAGGTTCCCCATCTGGACGGACCATGCGCAGGAAATCTCAATGTCACGGTCATGATTCACTGACCACTCTCGTTATTCCGATTGTTATTAATCCCAAACTTCCGATAAATCAGTCATGAGGCGTACGACACGGAAGAATTTCCAAAAATTCTGTTAAAAAATTCTGCCATGAATCCGAATGCTGTTCATACGGAGGAATCCTCGTATCCCTTGTGTCCCGTATCCCCTTCTCCGTTATCCGGATTTGATGGGAAAAACAAAGGACATTACAAAGAAATTCCTTATATGCGTCTCGATTCCCCAGGGAGATAGAAAGTCATGAGGAATCATTGTTCCCATACCTTTCCACGATTCTGGACTTGTCTCTTTAGCGTGACGTTGAGTCATGTCCGCCCTTGTCATTGGAGTCGACAGATGTCCGATTTCATGGATCGCTCCGATATGAGTGAAAAGATTGTTGTGATTCCACTGGTATGCAATATTAATATTGCAATATCGAAAGTCTGAGATAAAAGTAAGTGTCACGGATAATTTTAACATGCCGGCTTGGTGTTTCTCTTTCATGGAAGAGAAACCACGCTTCTCGCTCGTTTCCACGAAAGTCGGACACGTACCCACTCATCACTGAGCTCGGGAGAGTGCGTTGCCTATTCATTCCTGGAAATCGCATTGCAATCTTTTTTCTTTCTCTTATTGATTTCCTCAGAAGGAAGAGGAAATTCAGTATAACTTGAAATCGTCTAGTCGAAGCAGCTGAGTCCTGAACTGAATTCCAATTCCTAAAAAATAAAAATTATTTTTAAATGTTTATTAAATTTAAAAATAATTAAATTTTTGCATTTTGGTTTATTCTGGGAGCGCCATTTTTTTTTAATGAAATAATGGAATGAATGAATTTTCACTCGGGCAGGCATTTGATAATCCGGACAAGTCATCATTCCAATGAAAATCGTCAAGCTCACAAAGTATTGATTAATGAGAAACGGGTATTTTGCAGGGCTATGTAGGAATGTAAGACTTCGAGGCTTGGCTTCACTTTTGAGTATTTGTCACCTCTATACTTCGTATTTTGGTAGTCAATGACGTTTCAATTCGGAGAATTGAATGGAATTTTTTCTAAATTAAAATTGATCAACTATGGACTGAATTGGTTAAATCCTCGTGAAATCTTCGTATTAGGAAACAAAAGTTTCTCTTTTTTCCCCTTTTCTTAATGTCTGTTATTGCAATTATATCACAATGCATTCCCTATTGCATGTCACAAAGAGCATTCACGAATCACGCACTAGTTAATCCATGATCCTTAACAAGTGAATACATCTTTGCTCTCACTTGAGTTGATTATCTCGAAATCTCCGCTGGGGGCGCGAAAAAAGCTATGACTACCCTACCTTCTCGCATATCCGGGTCTGAGTTTCCCTGCGATCCACGATTTCGGGGNTCATAAATATAAAATGTGATTATATGGAATACGACCTATACATATACAGAATACAATTAAACATATAATTAAACTTGTACAAAAGCCGTTTAATACGTTTGAAATAATGAAGGTCTTTTCCCTGAATTGATAATCAAAGAAAATGGTAATGACTCGTCTTTTTGAAACTGAATGAGAGATTCATTTCTCGATGTAGCCATTATCAGGAAAATAGATATACTCACGAGTTTCATTTTGGTGATTCGTGCGGCGTTGAAGTACAGAAGACTGTTCCACGAGGATCGAGATCGCTCCAAAGAATGAATAGAATCGGGTCCAGTGGAGGGTATTTATATATAGTTGGAGGGCGGAACTGGGAAAACCCTTGACGTAGCTCTTTTAGTTAGGTATCTGTTCCTTCTTCAGTCGGGTTATGTACTTCTTTTCCAGGAAGATAAGATGGAAGGAAAAGAGCCGGCCTTTTTTGCTTCTCTCCTTTCTTGGAAATGCTAACATAGGCTGCCCTTATATGGCCAAGGGGGATTCCCCATCTGGACGGATCATGCGCAGGAATTCCTCAATGTCACGGTCATGATTTACAGACCACTCTCTTTATTCCGGTTAAGGCCAAGCTCCCGTTAATTCAGTCACGAGGCATACCACACTGAAGAATTCCAAAAAATTACGTTAAAAAAATTCTGCCATGAAGCCGAATGCTGTTCATACGGAGGAATCCTCGTATCCCTTATGTCCCGTATCCCCTTCTCCGTTATCCGGATTTGATGGGAAAAACAAAGGACATTACAAAGAAATTCCTCATATGCGTCTCGATTCCCCAGGGAGATAGAAAGTCATGAGGAATCATTCTTCCCATACCTTTCCACGATTCTGGACTTATCTCTTTAGCGTGACGTTGAGTCATGTCCGCCCTTGTTATTGGAGTCGACAATGTCCGATTTCATGGATCGCTCCGATATGAGTGAAAAGAGTGTTGTGATTCCACTGGTATGCAATTTTAATATTGCAATATCGAAAGTCTGAGATAAAAGTGTCACGAATAATTTTAACATGCCGGCTTGGTGTTCCTCTTTCATGGAAAAGAAACCACGCTTCTCGCTCGTTTCCACGAAAGTCGGACACGTACCCACTCATCACTGAGCTCGGGAGAGTGCGTTGCCTATTCATTCCTGGAAATTGCATTGCAATCTTTTTTCTTTCTCTCATTGTTTTCCTGAGAAGGAAGAGGAAAATCAGTGTAACTTGAAATCGTCTCGTCGAAGCAGCTGAGTCCTGAACTGAATTCCTATTCCTAAAAAATAAAAATTATTTTAAAATGTTTATTAAATTTAAAAATAATTAAATTTTTGCACTTTTGTTTATTCTGGGAGCGCCATTTTTTTAAATGAAATAATGGAATGAATGAATTTTCACTCGGGCAGGCATTTGATAATCCGGACAAGTCATCATTCCAATGAAAATCGTCAAGCTCACAAAGTATTGATTAATGAGAAACGGGTATTTTGCAGGGCTATGTAGGAATGTAAGACTTCGAGGCTTGGCTTCACTTTTGAGTATTTGTCACCTCTATACTTCGTATTTTGGTAGTCAATGACGTTTCAATTCGGAGAATTGAATGGAATTTTTTCTAAATTAAAATTGATCAACTATGGACTGAATTGGTTAAATCCTCGTGAAATCTTCGTATTAGGAAACAAAAGTTTCTCTTTTTTCCCCTTTTCTTAATGTCTGTTATTGCAATTATATCACAATGCATTCCCTATTGCATGTCACAAAGAGCATTCACGAATCACGCACTAGTTAATCCATGATCCTTAACAAGTGAATACATCTTTGCTCTCACTTGAGTTGATTATCTCGAAATCTCCGCTGGGGGCGCGAAAAAAGCTATGACTACCCAATCTTCTCGCATATCAGGGTCTGAGTTTCCCTGCGATCCACGATTTCGGGGACCGTTGAGCTAAATTAGGAGTGCCGCAAGTGCGGCCGCATTCCGTCTCCCGGACGATTTGGGATATGCACAGGGTGAATACGAATAAAATATTCTCGGGACTTTCCAAATCATGGCCCCAGGGGTGTCACCACGCCATTTAAGTGCATCGAACCGATCCCTTTTGTATGGGAAAGATTCAATGTCTGCAATTTATTCAATTTTGCCGTCTTCATGGTGCGGAACCTTTTTGTGATGATAAGGAACATGCACTTCAAGTCCATGGCGAACGTCCAGGAAACACATAATTTGAACTGTAGATGAGAGCTCTAAATTTCAGACGTTTGAACAACCAAGAAACGTTCACTGAACATTCATTAAACGTTCCACTGATACTCGGGTGGCGCCGTTTCAAGAGCGAGGCAGTGTCATTTGAAAACCCCGGAGTAAATTTCAACAGCTTCTTAGGGTGTTTGATACAATGATGGCAATTAGATTGCTTAACATGCACCAACTTGATGCATGCTATAGCCTGTTGCACGAAGCTGATAAATGAGTCAATGTCCTCAAATAATCCCTGGGAATCAAGTAATCGATTTATGAAATTCGTCGGGCAGGCCTTCGTACCCTTACGGAACTTCCAAATACAGGCGTATGTATAGGATTGTACAGTACTGAATTTAGCCTTGTTTGGAAACAGTTCAGTCCGTATCATGTTTTGGCCATTCTTAATAAATATAGAACGATATATTGTTCATATATCGACCCCCAAAATATGGTGCTAGGTTTGCAATGTATATGACACTAATATGAACTATACGGAAAAAATACTGTATTTGGAATATATTTGGAAACTGTCAGCCCATGTAGTGTCCAAGGATACACACGCACGCACGTTGAGGCCTTCCATATGGCCAGACATCTTGCAGTTCGTTCAATAAATAAAAAGTTCTCACAGTATAAGCGAGGTCGCGCTCATCCCGCCGCTATTTGTCTCCCGATTCCTCAAATGCTAATGAATGATTCTGCAGAAGCTTCCACCCTCAACTCGATAATTTCCCACGTACAAACCGAAGGAAGGAAGTCGTTCTAATCAATGAATATGTTGAGAGACGTAACCTAGCTTCAGGAGACTCTAGGCAATACTTGCCCGACGCATTGAAGGAGTGAGGTTCCACTTGTGACGTGAGTCACAAAAACCCATATTAGTTTCTTTGTCGAGGGACTGCCTCTGAGCCTTTGCTTCAATCTCCAATTAATAATGCACGCGGGGGTAATATATATTGCAAATTAAGAATATATTGCTACATATATCCATTATATTAAATATGGCCAAAACATGCCAA